GGAGGACTTCACCGTAGCCTTTTAAAGCAAGCAGAAGCATATTTAGAGGTGATGGCCTCATCACCTTGAGCTAACCTAAACCCGCCAAGATGCTGGTTTGCTTGGCATCTTTCCAGGGTGGTTGCTGTGCACTAGGATTCCAGAGAAGCCAAATGATGGTCGCTTTAGAGCTATCGCATTCCGGTTGATGCCTGAGGGCTTTCAGAATGGAAACAGAAGTAAATGCAAGCTAACTGTTAATGCACAAAATGAGCTGTACTCGTGGAGTTGTGGGTGGAGAGTGCAGAGAGAAATGTGTGCGGGGGGCTGGCTGAGTGGTGACAGCTCCTCGCTGGGTTTGTAGGGTGGATTTACCAATAGGAATCCTGGTTGAACATTAAAAAAAATGAACCAGCTTTTGTGAGTCTGATATAGAAATATTTATGGATGGCTGGAAAGGGAAAAATAAAATGCCTGCTTTGAATTGTTGAATGAATTTTGCATTTCAGCTGGAAAACTACTCATTACACCCCTAATACTGGTTCTGGGACTGGCACTGGGAGCCGTAGCTGTTGTAATAGGTAAGAGTTGCATATGTGAATGAGTAATTCTGATCTTGCAGTCACCTGCTGTAGAACATCTCAATATTTTCGTCTCAGAGGGGGACGCAAAGTACAAATTTCATAGATACCGTTTTAGTGTAAAGCACGTTACTTTTTTCTAAAAATTTGTCTGTAGAATCTTTTTTTCCTTGCTTAGATTTTATGCCTGTTAGCTTTATTTTTTTCCCCCATTTATTTGGTTTTCTGAACCAAAATCTTTAACTAGTGTAGATAAAACAGTAAAAAGGGCAGAGTAAGTTCAACATGGGGGCTGCCTGACTCAGAACCTCCCTTTAATCACCCCAGTGGATCATAAGTCATGACCGTGTGCATGAGAAGATTCTGGGGGACACTAGGGATAGTCCCAAGAGCCCTCCAACTTGACGATGCACCAACAAAGTAGCAAATTGGGATGAGTCAGTCTCAAAATCTGATTCAGTGCTTAGGCTGCCAAATTGGATTCCATCACAAAAACCAGCACTGTGAATTTGATGGAGCATCAAAGCCCTGTTAATGTGGTTGTATTAATGTGGATGTAGTTATTCTAGCAAGCCTGCTCTTTGTCTGGCTTAACTGAATTCTCCCACAGAAATGGAATAAGCTGTAATGATAAATGTTTAATTTTGCTTGTATAAGTGCATATCCACTCTTTGTGTTGGCAGTACTAAGTCAGTTGGGGATCATTCTGCTTCGCAGCTCTTCACCAAACTACTTACTCCGTTGAAAATTTGCAGTGTACGCCCAGCCCTGAGGCATGCTGGGATGTGGCATCTTATTTTGATACAATAAAACCAAAATATACCAGGATAGTTACGTTAATAAGAGTGTATGTAACCAATCGGCATATAACCAAAGTACCATTACAGCTTTTCTGAACTACATGTGGCCAAATAAGGAATACTGCTATTAATGTCATTATTTAGGTTAAGAATATGTATCTTTTTTTCTGTATCAGTATTCTGAGTTGGATTCACTGGGAGGTGGGGGGATAGGAAAGAGAGAGATCTTTAATATTTATTTGCTTTAGTGACGTTTTTATGCTAAAAATATAGGTAATAAAGGATTCTTAATGCCAGTAAAGCTTATTTTGCTCTGCAGTCTGGTACAATCTATGCTATGAAAAAAAAAAACCCCACTACTCTTTTGTTTATATTAAAAATTAAGAGGATATTGCAGTAATACCCAGTATGGTATTGAAGGCCCATCCTAGGTATGGCCAGATAAGCGATGGTCAAGAAGAGCAGTGTGAGCAGTTCAAAAAAAATTGATTATTTAAAGCAGAGTTTTGGTTTAGGGGTAATTACAGCAATATTTACTGCCAACACAACTGTTGAAGTTAGTATCATAGCTGAATACCATTTGACACCATTTACAGGGCTGTTGGCCAAGGCAAGGACCCTGGTGACTGTATACAGTCATCTCCTCCTATATGTTGTTACTGTCATGGCATTTTAGTCAGCTGGTGGCAAGAAACAGGGGGAGATGCTTCTCATTTGGGTTTGAATGGGTACCTCCTAGGATAGAGTACTTTTCATTTGAATACATCTGTTTTATTTATTTACTTTTCCTTTTACAGCTTCCTTTCTCTCAAAAAGACTTTTAAGAATAAACAGTTCCCTGCCCAGTCAAGGATAGACATTTAGTATTACTTCGCAATAGATGGGGTTGTTTGTAAAAATAATAATTTAAAAAAAAAGGTAAAGGTAAATCAGGCTGCCCTTATTGCCTGTGAAACTGGTTGAAGACTAGTTTAGTTAAATCAGCCTTGGATTGAGATCTAAGGATTGCCAAAGTGCCTGTAAAAGTTTTAAGTTTGTATCTTATACTGCACAGCAAGGTTCTGGAATTAATTTGTCAGAGGTGGGAGCGGGGTTAGCAGGAATTTGTTGTGAAGTGAACAGAAAGTGCAGCTTAACTCATGACCAGGGAGACTGTTGCAGGCCAGTATTTTTTCTGCTGGTCCGAATGCCTTGTCTAAATTCTCTTGAGACATGGAAAGCTGCGTCTGGATACTCTGCGTGCATGGAAAGAACATAATGCACAAAGGATTGCGTTAAATTATGGGTTTCTTCTTATTTTCTTCTTTTGGCAGGTTTATTTGTGTTTCCTATCTATTGCCTTTGTAAAAAGCAGAGGAAAAGGTCACGGACAGGTATGCCTTGGTAAGGAAGGACCTTACTCGCCTGAACTGAGCTGGTCCTGCAAGGGCTATACGCGCTTTGTGCGACAGAGCAATACCGTGCTGGTGACAGCGCCGAAGCCACCGCCCTGGAAGAAGAACTGGGGATCTCCTGCCATCTTCCTTCAGCCGAAAACACTACTGCAGCCCAGAATGCCTCTTTGCTCTGGTGCACTCTGAACAAGTTTGGGCCCCCTGACTGCTGCTTTTTAAATGTTTTGGGGTGTTTGTTTTTTTTTTTTTAATTATTACTTTGGAGGGGTTTTCTGAGTCTAAGTTTCTGAACTAGACAATCAAAGTCTGTATTGTAGCCACAACTCTACTACCGATTTGGCCTGTGAAGAAAGCATTTAACTGCTAACATGTGCTCCATTTTAACTTCAGCGTCGGCCTTTAAGGGGGAAATGCATAGAAGTGTTTGGACTCTTACTGTATACTGAGCATACTACTTTTGGTATTAAAAACTACTTCTGTAAATAACTCCCATCACACAGCATTCTGTTCAGCATACCGAAACCCCGTCACATGCCAGAGCACGACAGCTGGTTGTCTTCTGAGTCCTCCTGTTCATGGGCAAGAGTGTAGATTGCCACCGCCAAACTGCAGTGCCTCAGAGGGAAATATCCTTAGTATTGAAGCTCCTGAGGCTTACAATTATGCTGATTGGTTTCACTTCAGTAGTTAATTTATGACAGTCTATTAATATTGACTGGGAGGGTGACAGATTTGTTAGAGTACAGCATTTTGAAACTCTCCCAGTAGAGAAACAAATTGAAGGGTTTAGACAACAAAGAAGTGTCAGTGGCCTGTTCTGTCCCAAGGTATCCCTGAAGTGTGTTTGCAGGGAAGCTGGAAACCTGCTCTTCTGTTCTGACTTGGCATATAATACATGTGCTGCACACTAGTTGTGTGAAGACTGACTTGGTGGAATTTTATAACCCAAATAGCACGTTTTGTTCGTTTAAGTAGGCCGCATAAGTCTTAGCGCATCCACTGATGTCTCGTGAGCAACGTCAGTGAATATTTGGAACAGGGAAGGGTCATTAATTCTTAGGAGGCCACTTCATTCTTCGTCTCTGCTTCCGATGTTTCTCTTCCTGGCACATTACAGATCTGAAGAGAACAGCTATCTTTGCTCTTTTTTCCTAACTTCAGATACCGCTGCTTGCTACCAGACTTCTTTTTCAGAGCATCGCCAGAAGAGCAGCGTAATTCAGCATTAGGAATCAGCTACTGAGAATGTTTTTCACTTTTAGTTCCAATCTGAATTTATCATACAAATATAACTGAAAAGAGAAAGATAGAATAAGATTTATTTGTGTAAGCAGAACACTGAAACAGTAGAGGAACTGAATACGAGAAATACCTACTTTGTACTTTAAAAATACAAGCTGATCTTAGAGAAGATTGGCTTTGTACTATGAAGGTACTTTTATTTTCTCTGCGTGTGTTTTGAAGATACATATATATATGTTCAGATAGAGAGAGGGGGAAGCAGGGAGATGAGTCTGCATACTTCAAAACGTAGGTCCACAAATAGCGCAGCGTTTGTGGGGACATACTTTGCACCACTCTCTGGAAGTTGCTATTAAATCTGAATCTAGTTGTAATTTGTAAGTAGCATTCTGCCCCACCGACATAATACTGTTATAAGATACTCACTTTGACTTCAAGGCCTCGGTGGAAGAAACTGATGGATTTTGTTTACCTGGAAACACAAATATCAGCTTACTATAGTTGGCTTAGTACGCTTGTTTTCTGTCAGCTTCTGGTTTTGTTTTCTTGTTTGTTTGGGGTTTTTCTGGGTGAAACCGTGTGTGCAAGCACACCCTGGTAGTCAGCAAGGACTTAATATTTCCATTCAGATTTTGGGGCATGTTGACCCTGCTGTCCTCACGGTAGAAACAGTACCTTTCGGAGATCTGCAAACTCAGTGGGGAAGCAGTGACATTTGGAAGTCCAGTTCAAAGCCTGTTGTCGATGTAAATCCACCCGTTAATTAGATTTCTTCTTCTGTGAGACATCAGTCCTATTTGTGGTCTGTCTGAGGTTGGAAGCTGCCTTAAAATCGGTCTTGGTTGCGAGTGTTTTCTGAGGCTGTACATATCAGTTGTCTTTGGCTTACTCAGGGATTTTTATTCCTTTCTTTAAATGTCAAATAATGAAGATATTTTTGTATTATTTAGAAAAACTTTCAGACCTCAGAGTGAGATATATAGGTAGATAGATTTGGGTTTGCAATGCAGTCTGTAATATGGTGTCAAGCTATTCCACTTGAGAATATTTTAGTACTTGAGATTATTTGTAATTAACTGTACAGTGGATCAATTTCCTTTCTTTTCCCGGTTCTTTATAAATACGTGAGATTATTCTTACAGTCTCTTGTAGCTGTTTTCACTCTGCCCGTGTTTGCCATTTTCAGTTTCTGAGATCCAAAATTAAGATGCTAGAAGAAAGAGCATAAAAGGGAAGAGGATAGATCTGCACTTATTTATATTCAGAAAGCGTGTCGCTGTGGGTGGAGGAAAGGAACGCACATCTCGACTCCTACGTTATCATTCCATCTAGGCCGTTTTGATTGTATCGGAACAGATTTAAATCAAAGAGAAATGGGTCTTTATTTTGCATACGTAGCAAAACGAGGCATCTTTGACCTTGTGAAGATGAGAGTCTAATCTTGCTTTTTCTGTAGGAAAAAAAAAAAAAGGAATAACGATATTACTTGCTTTTCTGTAGGACGGGAAAAAAATTGAAGAGCCAGGCAGAGCAGGGATATTGAAGTCTTTTTTTTTTTTTTCTGTCCATATAAAAATACCCCCACTTGAATACAGTTTTTCATCAATATTCTGTAACATAACCAACCGAAATATGAGAAGTAGTACAAAACTTCATTCAATAAGATGTTAGCTTTTCAACATGTCCGAGGAAATCTTATATTCATCGAAGTCATGTTCTTTGTTTTGCAAGCATTAATTTATCGGTTTGAAAGAAAGGCTGTGAACTTTGCTGTAAGGAAATTCAAGCATGTTTTTCTTTTATTACATAAATGTGTGTTGGCTTCTGTAACTGTACTCTGAAGAACCCATGAGACTGTCCTTCATCTTTATTCGCAGAAAACGTCATCAGGCAGCTGAATTAACTTGCTATGGCAGATTTCAGGCTACTGTATGGTGATTATTGGGATTGCTTTCACCACACTTAATATTATTTATCCCTGTGAGAAGTTGTTGCTCACAGATATTCTGACCAAGAAACGCTTAAATCTATTCTACGCTAGCCTTCTATTCCTGGCTTGCCTGGAAATGGATTTGCCCGCTGTCTCGGGCCTCTTTGCAGGGGTGCAGTCGGAACTGGTGCCCTCCCGCCAGCGCTGTGCTGGGGAGGGCTGGCTGCAGGGGGCTGCTTCCCCTTTCTCCACTTTCTCCAGAGCAATTAGTTGTATTTCATTAATTGGTTCAAGTTTCGGGGCTGCTCAGCCGTGTCAGTGGCAGGATGATTCCGACTGCTGCCGCCTCTCAGAGCGCATAGTTGGGTACATCGCAGGGCTTATGCAGGAGCTCATGACTGGAAAACCACGGTGCTTTTCCTTGTGTCAGTCTGTCGGCCAGTGAGAATGAGAAGCCAAGTAGGAATACAGCTGGGAGACAGAAGTGCAGTTCTGAGTAGCCTCGTGCTGGAGCTGACCCATCAGTTTTGGTTCTGTACAAAAAGCCTGTTAGCTTTCGGTTCTCACCACCTCTGCAATAAACAGCATGTTCGTATCTCACAGGTGCCATTAAAACACCATGCACGTTGAGTGATCCGTTATCTTCCTGTGGGGCAATGCAAAGCTGTGAGCAAGGGAGGATTCTGGGTTTGGTTTTGATGTTACTAATGCTGACTTCTTAACTCTTCCTGGTATGACAGGAGTTGTTTTAATTTACATCTCTTTATTGGCTAGACCAACGTGAAGTTTTACTTTATTAAAAATACTAATTTGCAGGGCCTAGTGCCAGTTTCACTAGAAGGCATTTTGGATCGCTATCAGGTTTGGGTTTTTTACTGTTACTTTTATAATCTCTTATTAGATCTCCAAGAATCCCACCTGAGGAAACTATTAGAGAATTTCTTAGTTTAAGTTTTCAGCCTTCATAGTTGCAACAGGTCAGCTCCATTCCTGACATCAGTCATAGCCCTGTTACACAAGAGCAGTCGTACCCATTTTTTTGCCAGCACAGAATTTGGCCTCAAATAGTTTGATAAAAATATTGGGAACGTGATGGCAGCCACTGTGCAGCAACTTGGAAATCTGGATCACTTCTGAAGCTGAAATGGCTATGGAGCGAGTCCCCTCGCTTGCAGAGTGATTGTAGTGCTGTTTAATGGGTGCAGGAGAGGGCAGGGAGTAGGGAAGAATGTCCAGATGACACTCTTCTTTTTAAAGCAAATCGTCAGGGGAAGGAATACTAGGTTTTCGTATAACAGGGAGACCTTCTTAATACTTTGAGTCACCAGTGAAGTTAGCAACCACACCCACAGACGGTGTTAAATAACCTAACGTTCTGCTTTTGTCAGCGTAACAGATGTTAGCACAGTGTAAGAATTGGGGTTACAGCTGTTCCACAGTTTTCAGCCTTAACACAAACTTGAAACAGAGAGCACACAACACTTAAATAGTTATGTTGCTGGGGTATTTGGTGGCTTTTCTTACTGCTGTTAGATGAAGAACCAGCGGAGCCCTGATTGAACTGCCAGACTTGCAGTGTTTTCACTGAAGTACTGCCCAAGCTATAACACAACACCCCTGGGACTTTTTTTCCCTAGTGGAACTACGAACAGATGCAGCTTGTTGCAGTTACCCAGCACTGTAGCTTCCCGGCTGGTTGTTCCATGTTACCCAGGACTGTAGCTTCCCAGCTGATTGCTCTGTATCATTGTGTGCATAAGGGTTCAGGATCCGTACATCCTCTCTCCAGTAAGGAATGGAGTGCTCATATTAATCAGTTAAACACTGATGCTCCTGTTAGGTTGACAGTGAAATACCGTAAGGTAGGGAAATGAACACCAGTCTCAGAGTGCATGCTCTGATTTCAAAGGTAAAAATGTGTAATAAGCTTAAATTATTTACTCCCTAGTAAAAACTAAATACAGGATTTCTAAGCATAACTCCAGCTGTTTATTTCTAAATATACCTCTGTTAAAAGAGTAGTTATACCAGCAATTAGTTGATTAAAAAAATGCATATTATGCAAAGAAAACCTTTTTGGAGCTTATTTGGCTTATCAAAACCTTACATATTCATCTGAAGTGTTCTGGATGGATCAAAGTCAGAAGAGGAGAAATCTGTTTGTGAAAGTATTTGATATTCGTAGCGTAAACATGGATTTTTGGACAGACTTGCTTATAAGCAGTTGCATGCTGACCCCATGCAGCCTTTACCGTGTAGAAAACCTGTCAGACTGAAAACGGTATTGTTGAAATTTGAACCTGCTCTCACTGAG